TAAGGAGCCAGGAATATACAATGGGGAAAGGATGGTTTCTTCAATAATTGGTGCTAGGAAAACATGAGCCGTGTGCAAATAGAATGAAATGGGACCTTATACCATATACAAAATCAACTCCAAATGGATTAAAGAACGTGTAAGACATGAAGCCAAAAAACTCCCAGAAGAAACATAGGTGGTAAGCTCCTTGATATCTGGCTTGGCAATGATTTTTTTTTTTTTTTTTTTTTGATTCCACACTGAAAGCAAAGGGAACAAAAGCAAAAATAAGTGGGACTACATCAAACTGAAAAGCTTCTGCACAGCAAAAGAAACCATCAGCAAAGTGAAAAGGCAGCCTACAAAATGGGGGAAAATACTTACAAATCACATATCTGATAAAGATTAATATCCAAAATATATAAAGAACTCCTATAACTCAATAGCAAAAAATGAATAAAAGATGAGCAGAGGATCTAAATGTACATTTTTCCGAAGATGACCTACAGAGGGTCAGCAAGTACATGAAAAGGTGCTCAACATTACTAATCATCAGGGAATTACAAAACCACAATAAGCAGTCACCTCACACCTGTTAGAAATGCTTATTTAAAAAAAAAAAAAAAGTCTGGGATTGTGATGCTTCCCGAGTAATATTGAAGACGACCAAAGTGGGAGGCACCACAATCCCAGACTTCAGCCTCTACTACAAAGCTGTAATCATCAAGACAGCATGGTATTGGCACAAAAATAGACACATAGACCAATGGAATAGGAATAGACTCCAGAATTGGACCCACAGAAGTGTGGCCAACTAATCTTTGACAAAGCAGGAAAGAATATCCAATGGAAAAAAGACAGTCTCTTTAACAAATGGTGCTGGGAGAACTGGACAGCAACATGCAGAAGAATGAAATTAGACCACTTTCTTACACCATTCACAAAAATAAACTCAAAATGGATGAAGGACCTGAATATGAGACAGGAAACCATCAAAACCCTAGAAGAGAAAGCAGGAAAAAACCTCTGACCTCAGCCGCAGCTATTTCTTACTTGACACATCTCCAAAGGCAAGGGAATTAAAAGCAAAAATGAACTATTGGGACCTCATGAAGATAAAAAGCTTCTGCATTACAAAGGAAACAGTCGACAAAACTAAAAGACAACCGGCGGAATGGGAAAAGATATTTGCAAATGATGTATCAGACCAAGGGTTTAGTACCCAAAATCTGTAAGAACTCACCAAACTCTACACCCAAAAAACAAATAATCCAGTGAAGAAATGGGCAGAAAACGTGAACAGACACTTCTCTAAAGAAGACATCCGGATGGCCAACAGGAACATGAAAAGATGCTTAACGTCACTCCACATCAGGGAAATACAAATCAAAACCACACTGAGCTATCACCTCATGCCAGTCAGAGTGGCTAAAATGAACAAATCAGGAGACTATAGATGCTGGAGAGGATGTGGAGAGACGGGAACCCTCTTGCATTGTTGGTGGGAATGCAAACTGGTGCAGCCACTCTGGAAAAGTGTGGAGGTTCCTCAAAAAATTAAAAATAGATCTACCCTATGACCCAGCAATAGCACTGCTAGGAATTTACCCAAGGGATACAGGAGACGATGCATAGGGGCATTTGTACCCCAATGTTTATAGCAGCACTTTGAACAATAGCCAAATTATGGAAAGAGCCTAAATGTCCATCAACTGAAGAATGGATAAAGAAATTATGGTTTAGATACACAATGGAATACTACTTGGCAATGAGAAAGAATGAAATACGGCCTTTTGTAGCAACGTGGATGGAACTGGAGAGTATTATACTAAGTGAAATAAGTCATACAGAGAAAGACAGATACCATATGTTTTTACTCTTATGTGGATCCTGAGAAACTTAACAGAACACCATGGGGGTGGGGAAGGCAAAAAAAAAAAAAAAAAAAAAAAAAAGGGGGGGGGGGGGGGCAAACCATAAGAGACTCTTAAAAACTGAGAATAAACTGAGGGTTGATGGGGGGTGGGAGGGAAAATTGGGTGATGGGCATTGAGGAGGGCACCTGTTGGGATGAGCACTGGAAACCAACTTGACAATAAATTTCATATTTAAATAAATAAATGAATAAATAAATAAAAACACCAAAAAGAGACCAAGGGATAGAGAATACAGTAACTATGGGTCCACATTCTCTCAAGGGAGGCAGAATAAAAAAAATAAATAAAATATATAAAAATAAAAAATATAGTGTTGGTGAGGATGTGGAGAAAAGGGAACTCTTATGCACTGTTTTGTTGGAATGTAAATTGGTGCAATCACTATGAAGAATATGGAGATTCCCCCCCCCCCCAAAATTAAAAATAGAACTACCTTATGATCCAGCAATCCCCTTCTGGGTATTTTTTCAAAGGAAGCAAGTCACTAACTTGAAAAGATGTCTGTACCTCCACATTCATTGCCAATATTTAGAATAGCTAAGACATAATAACCCAAGTGTCCACCAGTGGATGAATATATGAAGAAAATATATATGTACACAATGGAATGTAACTCAGCCATTAAAAAAAAAAAAGAATCCTGACATTTGTGCCATCATGGATAGACCTTTGAGGGCATTGTGCTAAGTAAAATAAGTCAGAGAAAGAGACCCATTGATCTCACTTACATGTAGAATCTAAGACAAAACACTGAATTCATGGATATGGAGAACAAATTGGCCCCCTACCCCCCATCTCTGACAACCACTGAAATGTGAAGGTAGTCAAAAGACACAAACTTCCAGTTATAACATGAGCAGTCCTAGGGATATAATGTACAGCATGGTGACTATAGTTAATAATTATTGTATATTAGAAACTTGCTAAGATTTTTAAAAATTGAAGTCTACCTGACACAGTTTGTGAGGCATAGTGATTGCAACAACTGTATGCATTCATTATGCTCTGCTTACCACAAATGTATATAATATATATTAAATATAATGTATATATAATATGTATTACATATATATTATATAATGTATATACTATTACAAAACGTATAGTATATATATTATATACATTTGTGATAAGTAGAGCATAATGAATGCTATACCATATATAATATATACTATATTCCCTGTGCTGTACCTTTCATCCCCATGACTTATTCATTCCTTAACTGGAAGCCTGTACCTTCCTCTCCCCTTTAACCATAACAGAAATCTTAAAAGTCTCCCATCACAAGAAAAAGGAAAAAATTGTACAGCATGATGGATGTTTATGAGACCTATAGTGATCCTTGCACAATATAGTGAAGAATTGTTGTGCATCTGAAACTAATATGTCAATTATATCTTAATGTTTAAAAAGGAAAAAATCCTCCTAAGTCAAGGTCAACTCGATGGAAAAATGGGCCAAAACCAAAAATATTAACAGTTCACAGGACAAAGAAAAGCAAATGGCTCTTAAATGTAAAAAAAAAAAAAAAAAAAAATTCTAGCTCCCTCAAAATAAAGCTACCTGACATCCTATAGCAGTGTTCGTGAGAGACTGGTAAAAATCCGATTTGACAACATATTCTTTTGATGAAGCTCTTGGGGGGGGGGGGGGGAAGCATTCTTATTAATGTTGCTAGCGAAATTATATATACTCTTATCTAGTGAATATCTAGCAAAATTATGTATACCCTGTAATGCAGCAGTCCTACTTCTGGAATCTCTCCAAAAACAAGACTGTCCATCGCAGCACTATTTGTACAAGGCAAAGGTTGGAAACAACCGAGATGCCCATCAATGCCTCCATACAGTCCATCCATACAGTGGACTATTGTGGGGGGAGGGGAGGAATAAAACAAATTACAGTTAAGTGAAAACGATGCAGGTACAAAGTAGTGCACAGTAGGCTAGCTCTCATGTAAGAATGTTTGTATTGTGTGTACACATACAGTTGCTTATATTTTCAAAAAACAAAAGGATAAACAGAAGTGTACATAGTTGCCTGTATGGGAAGGCAGGGAACAGGTGTTGAACAGAGACTGATTAGACTCCTCCGAATGCACCTTCTTCTATAGTTTTTACTTGGAATTCACTTAAGTGTTTTACAGAGATAAATCATGAAAGACAAACCAATCTAAAAAGTGAGAAGATAAAGAGGGAAGCAAATGAACATAGTTGTATGTCAAAGTGGTGACATAATGAAATGGAAGAATTTTTTTTTACCCCAGTGATTTTCACAGTATTTCAGTTAGAAGCCCTCCCGGATCTATTTTTGGTGACACAAAGAGCCAGAAAGAAATCCGCAATTTCCTTCAGTCTTATGTTAGCAATATATTGGCACTGTTAGTTTGAAACTGTTGTACGCATCATAAATTAAAGCAAATAAATGTGTAAATGTAATTAGGAAGGAAGATTTTGTGAAAGAGCTAAAAGTATATACATATATAAAAACAAAACTTTACCTTTGCTATACATATAAAGAATTTTGCACAGATGCGGTATTAAGCACATGGATTAGCCAGTGGAATTTGTTTTTTAATCACAAATCCCTTTACTGTCAAGTCCTTAGTGGGGTGAGTTTTATAATCTCTTGGTATCTGGTTCCCTGAGTTTTCAGTATGTCAGGGTTTTGCTGAGTTACTCCTAAGGCTCTTCTCTTTAGCCATATTAATTTTCACACGTCGCTAACAGCTCTAATGAAGCCATTTATCATCACCACCACTCACCTTTCCCTGGCTCTTTTCCTTTCTTCCTTTCTGCCATATCTGAATTTTGGACAGGGTCTCTCCTTTTTTCTTTAATACTTTTTGTGTTCAAAATTATCCATAAAATATTGACACTATTCAAGGTAATTTATACAATCTCAATGCATCTTATAAGGAATATTTAGGGTGTTGTGGCAGAAGTATTTTAGGAGTAGTGATACAAGACTCCCACTTAAATCACAGTGATGGCCTTGGCAGTGGAGCTGGTATACCCAACTCATTTTAATAAATCCCAGCCTCCCGAAATTGCAAATAATTTGTGTTTTTTTTTTTTTTAGACGGCTATTCATATGAAAAGGAAGCAATGGAAAATTGGATCAGCAAAAAGAAACGTACAAGTCCCATGACAAATCTTGTTCTTCCTTCAGTGGTACTTACACCAAACAGGACTCTGAAAATGGCCATTAGCCGATGGCTAGAGACACATCAAAAATAAAATAGTTTATATTGTATATATTTTTCAGTGATCTCATTTGAATGATTTCAAGGTAAATACTAATCAGATATTAAAGCAAAACAGGAGAAAAGTGAATTTACTTACCTGTAAAAACTTATTCTTTGAATTATATGGACAAAATAACATATCTGACCTCCTTTCCTACTATAAAAGCCTTTTTTGTACGTGAAAGATATCTTAATCTGTGGAGAAATAAAGTTTTACTTTGACTTAAAATTGCAATACACAAAATTGATTCTTGCTAGATGTAGGTCATATTCTCATTAAAACCAAACATCAGAATAATCTAGAATATAACATTAAAATCCTAGTTAATAGCCATTAATTTGATAACTCTTTGGAATCCTTCTAGAGAGAATTTGTAGCAAAATAACTAGATTGTAGCAAAATGACTAAACTGGGAAAATCACCTGGACATGTTTAATGAGCAGTTTTATTGCATTCTAAATTTGCAAGGTGGCAGTGATTTTTCCCTGCAGTCCAAACCTGTGTACAAGTTAGATGGAATCAATTATCATGAATATGTCAAGTTGACTTTGTTGAAATAAAGTACTAAATTGGCCTCCTTTTAAAGTTCAGAATCCTTAAAGTTCTCATATATCCTAAGCTAGGGTAACTATACATTTTTACACAATAGGTTGATATTTAATACAACATCCTGATAAGCGTTCACAAGAAGAAAACTTCCAGTTCACAAAGCTGAGGTGGTATTGACTTCACATACCTTTTGTAAGTTGTTTCCCAGAATGAAAGCCATTAGTGGGAAGGCTGGTCAGAACTCAACTGGAACCAAGGCAGGAACCAAGATTCTGTGTTTGCCCCCAAAACCCTCATTTTAGCTGTTCTAAAATTCAAAAACTCAGAAATGAGGGGGAAGAGTGATGTAATTATGTATATATTCTTTTCCTATATTTTATAAATTTACAGCTAATATGCTACATGTTTACAGATGTGGAAAGCTTAGCTACCACAAAAATCTCCCAATTATCTTTTAACTGCTTTGTAAAATTTCTGTCATCCTAATGTATTACTGAATTTTATTTCCTTTGTGTCATAGCTGGGATTTACAATCTGTGATTCTACAAGAGGATTTTCTTTTTCATACCACCCATGCTGCTTACATTAGAGTGAAGACCAAAAAAAAGTTGTAACAGGCATTAGGTACTTTTGTATTCTATAGAGAAAGTATGTTAACCTAATTTTAACAAAAGATTTTAATTCCTAGAGTCCACTAATGGGCCAAATATTTGTTTTGGTAGACTTATTTTCCAAAGGAGGCACACTAGTTTTTTACATAAAAATTACTAAAAATTATTGACGTCATTGATAGAAAACACAATAAAAGACTGGTTATCTCTTAAATGTGTTAAAGGTGATTTTCTTTTCTACATTTCACCATCATGGTTTCCTGTGGCTGAAAACTAAGATGCCAGTAACTTACTAAAGTGAAGTACTTCTAGTCACGTACACAAACCAAAGCCAGACAGCGCCTCCTCCCTGCTCCCACACCAAAATCCAAACCCATCCACAGGAAGGGACACCACAAGGCCCCTCGGCTACACTCCCAGGCCCAACTGTTCACTCAGATGTTCGTGGGAGCAGCGCTCACTGGCTCTCAGGACTGACCAGAGCTTCCCAGGAAGACTTCACTTCTTTCTGGGGGAACTGGACCAAATATCTTTAAGACTATGTCAAAATCATAACGCAGTCTATAATAAATTCCCGTAGTCACATCAGCTTCGTAGCAAAAGTCATTCAACACTTATGGGCCAATAATGCTTTTCCTCCCACCTGTTTTTGTTTTTGCTTTTGAACTAGTTTAATATTTAGCTTTAAAGAAGGGCTGCAGATACCCAGCCTTGCTGTAACAGCCACACCCAGACAGTACCTGAAGCAGTACCAGATTGCATATTAGGGTTTTATACCAGTACAACCCAGTTTGATGTTCATTTATCCTACCCTGATACAGAACTATGTGGGTATAAAGACTAACTGAATGATGATACAAACGTGAAGAACTTTCATCACCAACACAGAGTTTGGTGTCTGACCAAAGTGTTTGAGAGTGACTGACAGTACTAAAGGGATCCTGTTCCCTGTCAAAACAGACACCAAGATTTCTGGAACAGAGAATTACAGAATGCTCTTCCTAGTTCAGGCAAAAAGATTCATGTTAACCACTGAGTATTCTGGGATCTCTTGGAGCTGTCACCCTTGTTCTGAAATTATTATTCAATGACATTTAATATGCATGTGGTAGTATTACTATAAAAATAGACTTTTCACGCTTTTCTTGAGGGTAACAAGATCCCCCAGGATTAAACCAAGGCAAAGCATTGTCCTCAGGATAGTCTCTACTTATCCACTGTTTCATTTAATACAAAACAAATTCTATTAATACTCTTTATTCCATATGGAAAAGTACAGTAGTTGTGCAGAAACAAAACTACATAACAAGAGTAAGACTTTCACAAATATTAAAGAAAACAACAAACAATAAATAAGCCAAAGTACTTCTAGCAGAACTCAGGGAAAGCCTAGAAAAATGATAAAGCTGTACAAAGTACACCGTTCACACTCAGGCACAAATGTTGAAGAATGACACCAGATTTCCTGTTCGTACAAAACCATAATGATGCTCAGAGGAACGTTGTTACAACAATTCATTTTTAAAACTTTCTGTAAATATAGAACTTACTTCTCCCCAATTCTAGAAAATAAATTTCACATCCCACCATATAAAACAACTATTCTCCTACCTCTCTCAAACTAGCATTTTAACATCCTCCAATAGCACACCATTTTCATATAAAAATACCTTTAAACCAAGGCTCATTGCTGTACCTTATCTTTACAAATGAATAATACATCAGGATTTAAGTAGCACCTCAAAGGTGTTCATATAAATGAGATAAAGTGCTGTTACTGGTATACTGTTAACATGCCATAGTAATATATCGTTCAGTGCAACAACCAGCATGAATGAAGCTTACAAAGAACATGCAAATATATGAGGTTTTTTTATGATTAACTACTTGAAATAGTTATATTTACAAGTCAGAATACAACTTGGCTATTTAATATGTACAACATGTGACTATAAAGTAATGATTGTATAATGAAACAAAAGCAACAACTAACCATACCTTAACTATCCAAATTAAATACTGTCCTTAAAGGACCCTGGAGGGCTTGTTCCAGGAATGGTATCATTGTTAAAAGCAGTTTGGGAA